TGATTCCTCAAAAAACTAAACATGGAATTAGGATGTGATCCAGCAGTTCTACTTCTGGATCTGTACCTAGCAGGAGCGAAAGCAGGGACTCAACCGGGGCTTTACATGCCCATGTTCACAGCAGCATTATTCATAATGGCCAGAAGGGAGAAGCAACCCAAGTCTTTACTGACGGATGGACAGGCTAAAAAGAAGGGAATTCTAGCACGTGGTACAACATGGACGAACCTTGAAGATGTTACTTCAAGTGACATACATGGGCCAGTCGCAAAGGGGCAAATAGTTCATGATGCCATTTACAGGAGGTACCTAAAGGTAATCAAAATTATAGAAACCAAGTAAAATGGTTCCCAGGAGCTTGGGGAGATGGGGAATTGGCGTTTCATAGGTTTCCGCTGGGGAAGATAAAAAATTCTGGAGATCAGTGGTGGTGGTTCCACAGTCTATACTTACTGAATTCGACAGTGTTGTACCCCAAACAGTGATTGAAATGATAAATGTTATGTCATGTATATTACACCACCTTAAAATATAACCAGAAACATCCCCATGGATTTCTAGTGGGTATAGGCCCAGTGAAGAACGTGGCTGGTTTCATGTTCCTGGCACCTTCTAAGTTTCTAAACAGTATCTCTGAACCAGAGACAAGCATCCGAGTCAGAAAGTCTGGGCTGGGACCCGTGCTCGAGTGGTTAGAAATGCCGCCCAGTTGGTTCTGATACCTGCTTGTGCTCAGGCTCACTGTTTGAGGGAGAAGGCTTATGAAATACCCTTTAGCATCTCCTGGAATCATCTACTGATTTTTATACCTCCTCGGGAATCCATCAGCCACTGGTATGCGTGCCCAGACTTCTCCCGCGCCGTGGCAGGTAGCATGGATTGGCTACGACACTGTGCTCACTGCACATGGACTCACTCGAAATCCTGTTTTGTTGTCATTTTTTTATGGCAATAAATTTACATTTTAATCCTTTTTTCGTGTACAGTAATACTGTGGCATTAAGTACATTTAGATTGTTGAGCAAACACCACCTCCAACCATCTCCCGAACTTTCACATCTTCCCCAAGCAAGGGAGGAGAGAAGAACTACAGAAAAGAATAATATAAAAAAAAAAAAAAGCAACAACATTGTCCCCCCATCACCACCCCCCCTCCCCCCCCCCCCCCCCACCCGCTAAAAAACAGCAGAAGAAAAAAACGAGTAAAAAACCAGCAGGATAAGAAAGAACACAACAAGAAAAGACTGGAAGAAGCAGCAAGAAGGACAAGTTTGAGTTGTGGTCTCAGTTGACAGGGTGACCCTAGAGTTTGAGTGCAGCTTAAAATAGTTGAGAAGTTACATATTCATTCATCTTTTATCTGATGAGATGCATTTGAGTTCCCCCACTGGATTAAGGCACTTTGTTAATCACCTTGTCACTTCCTCGTTTTCCGGAATTCTTGGCCATTTGCTAGGGAGACTCTTTCCATTTTACTGAATTGGACGTGAAGTTCAGTGGTGAAGGCTATCTTCTCCAGTCTCTCTACTCGGCTTGCAAGTAATCATTTTCATCTCGGCTTTGTTTTGGTTTTCACCCTGGTGATAATTACAGATTTTGAATTCAGCAGTGGAACCGCAAGGAAGTCACAGGCACTAACTCAACGGAATGTCTGAGACATTTCTTTTCTGTCCATACAGATACGGAGTGACAGCCTGGGTTCTGATGAGCCTAAGGAGACGTTTCATTTTATACGAAGGGAAGGAGGGCGTATTAACTATATTAAGCCATTAGAATTTATTTTTATTGAAGCAAAATATACACATATAATTTTCCATCTTTACCATTGTTAAATGTACAGTTAAGTGGTAAATCCAGTTATTTTTTCCCTTCATCCCCACCGGGCCCCCTTC